TACCACATCCAGGTCATCCACAACACGGAAAACAGCGGCTCCTAATATGATTTTCCCACAGTGCCTCTAAATTCCATGTGGACTTTGGGTGAACTGGATCTGGGTATGTCTTGGCCTCTATCTGGAAGTTTGATGCTTTCTCTGTTTTTCTGGAATGGTTTTGACATGGTGTTTTGAAAAGTAATTTACTTACCAGTAATTTCAAATGTACAGACAACTTTACAAACATAAAATCAAATTTTGTACTTGATTAAATATAGTTCTAAATATAGATGTTGACATTATTTAAAGTGGAATTGCTTTCATAAATTCTTTTTCAGATTACTTATTGCTATGTATATGTATAAGATAAATGTTTATGAATTGATATTTTTTCCTGTAACTTTGCTGAATTAGTTGACTAGTCAAATATTTTTTTTTTATTGTTTTAGGAAGTTTTATATGTAAGATGGTGTTATCTGTATTCTGTGAATTGATATAGTTTTAATTTTTCCATTCACACATGAAAATTTTGTTTCTTTCCTTAAAACTCTGGGTTGAACTTCCAGTGCCCTATTGAGTAACAGTGGTGAAGGTCAGCTTCCTGGCCTTGTTGTTCCTGATTTCAGGAGTAAATCTTTCAGTTTTTAACACTGAGCATGAAGTTTGCTGTAGCTTTGTATATTATTCTTTCTAATATGGCACAAATATTCTTTTATTCCTACTTTCTTTAGTGTTTGTATCATGAGATAGCATTAGAGTTTGATTATAGCTTCTTCTGCAATAATTGATATGATAGTTTGTTTTCACATCATGCCCTTACAGTGGTTCACTACATTGCTTCGTTTTAATATGTGAAACAACCTGACATTTTTGGTGTCGAGATACTTGCTATGGCATCACCCATGCAATGTTCTGTTGGTTTCATGTTGCTCCAATTTTGTGGAGGATTTTTGTGTTCATAAAGTATGCTGGTGTAGTTTTACTTTTCTGATGTATTTGTGTGATTTGATTAGATTTTCCCTGGTGTTGGTTGGAAGGGTTAACATCAGGGCTGGGAGTGGTGTGAGAGCTGGGTTATGGTTGCCATTATGTGACCCTGCACATAGCAACCCAGGCTGCCCTCCTGTGACATGCCTGTCCTGCCAGCTCCTGCCCAGCCCTCTAGATACTCCTCACTCCCCATAGGGCAAGAGTGACCCTCCTCCCCTCCCCGCATTGGCATCCCTCCTGTCTCTGCCTCTCCATTCATTCTGCCTGAATCAGGACACCACTTCCTCCATGAGGCTCCTGGATTCCACCTTGGAGCATTCCACCCCCCCCCCCCTTGTTCCCACAAGCTGTGTCAACCCCCCAGGATCTGTCACCTCAAGAGGCCCCAGGAACATGGACTCCTCTGGGTTGAGATGAGGTCACTGACCTGTGTGTGAGGAGGGAGCAGAACTCATGGGGGAGAAGGCAAGGTGAGAACAGGAGACAGAGACGGGTAAGGAGAGACCTGGGACCGATTGACCACAGGACCTTCAAGAGGAGCTGGCGCCCAACACCTGATCTCAGGCTCCAGGCCTGAGAACAAGCATCCCCTGTTCCAGTACCCACTCCCCCCAGGGTCTGGTATGTGTGATGGGGGCTCAGGAAACAGATATCTGGCCTGTGGGGGAGGGATTCTGTGCTTGTTGAAACCCAGGACAGTCACTGGCTGCTTCCCTTCTAGACATAACCCCCACTCTTACTGGGGGAGGAACCCAGGGTCCAAGAACCTTCTACTCTTACCTGTTATGGCTACCTCTCCCCCCAGCCCCTGCCACCGGGCATCTCAGGCCTCAGAAAGAAGCCACAGTGTTGTGGTGACCATGGCAGTTGGCTGCAGGCCACCCCATCCCACCTCCTGACCCGAGTGTGGCCATCTGAGCCCCTCCCCACCCCGACCCAGGTGCCTTGTTTTATAGGACAGGTTCTCGAGCTTTGTTCCTTTCCTGGAGGGGGTTATCCAGTGGGCAGTGGTGACTGAGGCCTGTGAATCTGGCCAGATAGGTCCTCCCCAAGAGCCCAGGCACAGCTGGGCCAGAACGGACTCCTCCCTCCCCTTCCGTACCCCTCGGAGTGAGGATAAGGCCCTGGTGACCCCCAAGAAGAGACATGGCACCCAGAGGACTAGACCATCCACAGACCAGGGACTGAGTGTCCACCTCACTCCTTCAGAGACAGCGATGTCTTCACGAGGGCTGCCAGAGTGGCCCATGTCCCCACAAACATCCAGCCTCAGGGAACCAGGGAGACAGAAAACAGCCTTGGGGAGAGGCTGGGGTGGGAGGCTGTGTTTATAGATCCTGCCTTCGGGAAAGGGGGTCGGCCTGAGGGAGGGTGGACGTGCTCCCGCGCCGAGCACTCACTGACCGTCCCCCTGCCGTCCCCCTGCCCCTCTCCCGCTCCCTGTGACCTCACCGCCTCATTCGGAAACCCTCCTCTCTAGGCGCCAAGTGCCCACTCTTCCCACCTCAACCCCATCTCTCTCCAGTTCAGTTTGCCCTTTTCCCGCGCTGGGTGAGGAGGCGTGTGAACGCCTACACTGTTGTGTTCAGCAGTGTGGACGGGGCTTCACTTCTCTTCCTGGCTCGCGTCCAGCAGGACACCGCGTGGTTTCCAGGGGTGCGGGGCTGGATGCCGCCCAGCAGGGAGCAGCCTGACACCTGTGCCTGCAGCGCCACCTGCCGGTGTCTCCGTCCTCCCGCTGGGCACAGTCTTCCCCCTCCCTCTGCCGCCTGGGATTATCTGTCTCCTCACCCTGGAGGGATCAGTTACTTGCCCCCACCACTTTCACCCCCCAGCTCCGCACCCCTCATGCAGAATCAGGGATGACCCAGGACCCTCCCTGGGCTCCCCTTCCTGCCCACCCTTGGTCATGTCCTCAGTCACCTGTGCTTACAGGTGAGGGTTCCCTCCAGATGCTCCTAAATGCTCCACCCCAACATCCTCCTGGGGATGGGCCTCGTGTCCTGTAGCATCACTCCACCCTCACCAGGCTGCGACTGCATGAGGAAGGCAGGCATCAGGCCTGCTGTGTGCACTGCTGTGCCTCCCGCTGTATACGCAGGCATGACCCTGCCCCAGGACATGGGAAAGTCGGCCCTCCCCTATGTGGGGAGATGTGACTGACCACAGGGTGACGTCAGCTCTCAGCTCAGGGCAAGGGCAGCTGGGTGCTCACTCCTGGGACCCTTTTCAACCCAGCCTGACCCTGAGCTGCCTTTGTTCCCTTCCTGTTGTCCCTCTGTTGGCCTCTCTCTGTGAGCAGAGCAGGGCAATGTGGTCAGTGGTCACAGGCTGAGGCACAGGGACCCTGGCTGAGCCACGTGCCCCCCTGCTGACCGCACAGATCAGGCACTGCACCGGGGCCTGTTTGGTGTGGGGTCACCTGCCCGCAGAGAGGCCATGCCTCTGCTTTTGGCTCCAGAGTTCACCTTGAGTCTGACAGGAGTGTCCCTGCTCCCTGGGCTGCTCTGCGCTGATGGTATGGTGCATGGTAGGGCTTCCTAAGTCTCCCGTGGGGGTTGGAGGCCGAGGTTGGGCACATCGTGGCCCCATGTTGCTATGACAGACCCCAATAAATCCTGCACCTCAGGGCTCAGGTGATCTTCCTGAGCTGCCACAGCTGAGGATGGACCCTGCTCCACACCTATGTCCTCACTGAGTTTAATCTGCATCTTTCACCATAACTAACCCCAAGTATAACAGCTTTGGGGACTTTTGGGAGCCTCCAAGAAAAGCAGCTGGGAGGGGGTCTCTGGGACCCTGAATCTGCAGTTGGGGTCAGAAGTGGGGGGTCTTGGGCCCCTGGAAATCTGAAGAGCCCCTCTACCAGGGGAGGGCCAGGAGACCGCAGGTGGTAGTTAGCTGAGTCTAAGGCTCTCCTGGGTATGAGGCATCTTAGCCCCTTGCATCACCAAGAGGCTGGCTCCCTCCTCCCCTCAGCCCCAAGGCCTGGTCCCTGCTTCTGAGAAAGTTCCTAGGGTGGGGTCCTGGTGCTGCAGGTGCCCCCGGTCTGTGGCCTCCTGAGTCTTCAGGGAGGATAAGGAGTGAGAGACTTGTCCACAGAAAGGGAGCTTCTGTCAGAACAGAGCCTGGGGCTGCCGCACCTTCACCTCCACCACCGCCCCCAGGTGCATGGGGCAGGACCATGAGAGTGAGGCTCCTTCCCCTGCCAAGACATGCAGGACACATGGGGCACTGTTCATTGGACCTTCACTCAGTGTTAAAAGCTCCCATGCAGGCCTGTTGGGTGAGAGACACCATTTAAAGACTAAAGATTAATGGGGTGGAGTGGGCTTGGGGGTGAAGCTGGGGTGGGGCGAGTTGGAAAATCACCCAAGGACACACTCTCCCTGCAGCGACCCCCCCAGGTGAGCCCAGGTGGAGGTGGACCCCTCTAGTCAGAGACCTCACATTCTGGGCCCCTGGGGGACAAGTATCCAAGCATCCCCAGTTCTTGTCTAGTTTCACAAGAAACACTGATTTTTTTTTTCTCCACACATTTAAAAATAGAGAATCTATTATCTTGGAAGAATAGAAGAAGTCTCTTCAGCAAGCAAGGGGCAATTCAGATTGGAGGAACTAGTGACACAAGTTATATGCAGGAAGTTCCGATTGATCCAGCTGTAGAAATAACATGAATGTCTTCTTGTATAGTTGTGTAAAGCTTCTAATGGGCTGTCTCAGATTGAGACTGGTAACACTTGCAGCTGAGCCTCTAGGGTCCCATGCGTTGTGGACACAGGGCTGGCTTACTCTCCAGGAGGCTGTGTCTGTTCACAGAAGCCACAAGCAGCTCTCATCCGCCCCAGTCCTGTCGTGACTCTTGAGGGCACAGACCTCTGCTCTCTGTCTGCTTCCGCTCCTGCTGGGCTGACTTCTGCTTGGTCTTCTCCACTCTGCTGACAGGCTCTTTAACTCTGGGTTTTTGTTTATGTGCAGGTGAATCCATGGCTTGGCTTCTGTAGACTTCTTAGTCAGCACCAACCTGGATGGGACAGAAGATGGTTGATCCCTGGGCCTGGAGTCCGAGCCCACCACTGCCCTGTCTTCTTCATGGCCAAGTTCTCACCCCTCCCAGGAGGCCTCTTGGGGGCCAAGGGGATGGGGTGTGCACGACAGGAGCAGGAGTCCATGACTGGATGGAGGTGCCCACACCAGGACTGGAGGGTCTGTCTGGAGCTGGAGGCCACGGGGCAGGCAGGAGGGCTCCCACCGATCTTGTGGGTCCACACGTCAGAGTTGTAGGCCTGCTCATGGTGCACCAGGCTGTCGATGGGACCAGTCCAGCCTGCGCAGGTGCCTGACCACCAAGTGGTCAGTGCAGAATATGCACAGGGAGCCCTGGCAAAGCTCCCACACTCCCAGGAGGACACTCAGCCTGGTCCCTGGAATCACTGGGAGGTCAGCCTACAGGGTCCCCCACCCAACCTCACTAAGTTACAGTAAAGAAACAAGACACCTCCGTGCTGGAAGACAGAATGTCAGCAGACTGAGCACTGTCCTGAGGAAGGCAGGCTGGTGTCTGGGAACTGGGTGCTATAGTGGGGTGAATAGGGGGCTCTCAAATGCTATGTCTGCGACATGACCCCAGAATCTGTGAATGTAACCTTATTTGGAAGTAGGTCTTTGCAGGTATGATTGGTTACAGATCTGGAAATGAGGTCATCCTGGATTGGGGTGGCCCTAAATCAAAGAGGGCATCCTTCTAACAGATGCAGATACAGAGGAGACACCAAGTGAAGATGGAGCCAGAGATGGGAGGGAGGGGGTCACAAGCGCAGGGATGCCTGGAGCCCCAAAACTGGAAGAGGCAGGAAGAACCCTCCAGTGGAGCCTCTGGAGGGAGCGCAGTGCTGGGACATCCTGACCTCAGTCGTCTGGTCTCCAGGACTGAGAGAGGATAGGCTTCTTTTGTTCCAAGCCTGTGTGTGTGCTCATCTGTCATCGCTGACCCAGGAAACTCATGCAGCTGGTGGGAAGTGCGCTGCCCTGATCTAAAGCCTCCTTCCCATTAGGGGCAGCCCCCTGCACCTATGCTGTTTGCACTAACCATGATGTTCACACTGAGCCCCAGCTCCGCTTCTGGGCACTGGCATTTGGAGGGCGAGGGCAGACACCACCATGTGACCAGCCCCCAGCTGGGTGCCAAGTCTCTAGTGAGCTTCCCTGGTGGGGATGGGGGTGGTGGGTGACTGTCAGGGTTCTGCCCTTCATCACTGGGGGAGGAGATACCCTAGACACCCTCGAGGGAGGAGGCGCATGCAGAGTCGTAAGAGTCTGGCTCAGGGCCCCTCCCACCCCTGCATCCCCACTGCACCCCCACTGAAGCCTATCTCAGCTGTGAGCACACCGGCCTGGAGCCTCCCAGCAAGTCCCCGAGGCGAGGTGGCCCAGCAGACCCACCCCCTTCCTCCATGTCTAGCAGGTGGGACATCCCTTCTCCTTGCCACTCCAGGAGTGGTTCTGGAGCCAATCTGTGAGTGGTTCTGGGGTTTGCAGGCTGAGCCACTGTTGCTGTGCTCCCCGCATGAGCCCCCAGAGCAAACTGTCTGCCCTGCTGCCTGAATGCCCCCTCCCTCCACTCGGTATTGTCAGGAAAGGATCAGATGGTTCTGTAACAGCATCTGAACCCTCCTATAATAGGGGTGTCCTTGTTCACAACCCTCTAACCCCCACCGTTAGCAGGAGGTAACAAAGGTCTTTAAGGTAAAGGGTCCAGAGAGAAGAGAGGAAGCTACAAACAAAACCAGCTGGGATCAAGATGGCAACAAATCTTGACTCCCAACAGACCCCGAGTCTCATTGTATGCTGATTTTACTATATCATTGATGTAGGAGATAGATGGGCTCCAGATTATAGACATTTATAACTGGCCTCCTGTTTGCATGTCACGGGACACAAAGAAGTGGGCTTCAGGGTGGATACTTAAAACTGTTAGCTTTTCTGAGAGAAGAGAGAGGTGGGCTTCAGTCTAGGTATTTACAGTCAGCCTCCAGTTTGCCCTCCGAAATGGAAGTAACAACAGAGAGTACATAGCCAGTGTTTGTCTCTGGTAAACACCTTACGGTAATAGTCACGGCAAGGACAAAGAGGGGGCAAAACCTTGTATGTGTAAAGGATTCAGGGATCTCTGCCCCTCACTCTTTTGGGACAAGGGAGACACTACACATGCACAGAAAGGCTTCTTGTGGCTCAAAACTCAAAAGATAATGCCAGGCCATAATGAGTCTTGCTCCTCCCAGAAATCTTCACTTCAAGATCCATCTTGGCTGAGGGGTGAGTGTGCACCCAGGGGTAGGTCAGATGTGGGAAAAGAAACCAGGTAATTGGCCTGAAGGAAGACAAAGAAGGAAGACAAAGGAAGAAGCTTCTCCTCACTAAAGGGTTCGCTCATACCCTTTCTCTGCTGTGCTTCTATCTTAACAAACCATTTACCTATGTGCTGTACCACTTGTTGTTTTTCTGTCTCTAATAATTTTATACCTTCATTTACAGTTTCTGTCTCTGTGATAAATATATTTTTCAATGGGGGCAAAGATCCAGGGAAAAGTAGCTTCTAGCCTTTAGCCCTTGTTGGTCTGGTGGCTAGGATTCCTGGTTCTCATCCAGGCTTTCCAGGTACAATTCCTGGGCAGGGAATTTAAGATCTCACTTCATATCACCGCTCACTGCTAACTCAATCATTATATTCACCAGGAGTGACACACCTCCTGGTGGCCATGACCCAACATGAACAAAAGTGAAAGTGAAGTTGCTCAGTCATGTCCGACTCTGCAACCCCATGGACTATAGCCTGTACCAGGCTTCTCCGTCCATGGGATTTTCCAGGTAAGAGTACCAGGGTGGGTTGCCATTTTCTTCCCCAGGGGATCTTCCCGAGCCAGGGATCAAATCCAGGTCTTTCGCCTTGCAGGCAGACGCTTTACCCTCTGAGCCACTGGGGAACCTTCATAACCCAACATGAAGAACCAAAAAAAGGTCAAAAGGAGACGGTACCACTAACTTGGAAAAATCCTGCCCTTCCCTCAGATGTACCTGCCTCCTCAGCATTAGTCTCACTCCTCCTCCCTTTGTCTTTACTGTTTAAAATCAAACCACATTCTCCAGGAGGGCAAGAAGTTGAGCTTCTCTGTTCTTTGGCCACTGAATAAAGCCTGTGCTGTGTTGATCTCAGCTTTGGTTTCATAATCACCTACTTAAACCTGAATGGATAAAAGGAAACCCTGTCTGTTGAGACAGAGACCCCCTAGCCAGGGTAGGGCCTGAGCAGGGTCCATAGGACTTAACTTGGTGACAACCTGTGAGGGGACAGGGGTATCTGCCTGGGGTGAGTGGAGGGCACCTCTAGCTGCAGCACTGGCTCCATTTACAGTGTGGCCCCTCCTGGGCCTGGACTGTGAGCTCTCATCCCCACACCCCTGACACCACCCGACAGTCTGATTTGGTGACACTGGCTGTTGGGTTCCAGTCAGGAGGGACCCAGATGCAGCACTTGGAGCCAGATCAGAAATGCCTTTTCACAGGCCGTGGATGTACTGGGTTTTAAGACTCTGTGTCTAGAAAATAAACTGAGCTGCTAGAAGCTGATGTGCGCTCTGGACTTGAAATCCATGTGCAGGGCAAAAGTTCTCACCGGACCTTAACCTGGAAGCTTCTGCATAGGTGATGTCCACATCAGTTCTTCCTTGCCAAGTCCTCCAGGTCTCCTTGGTGGGCACAGCGGGACCCACACTCCATGGGATCCCCGATCCAGAGCCTGAAGGGCCAGTGCTGGCAGGGCTTGGGGATGAGAGTGGTCACTCTCTACCAACACTGCTCCATTCCTCTTCCCTGGGGACCCAGGAGAGGCAAGGCTAATGGCACAGGCCAAGCTCAATGCATTTTGTCATGGGACCCCCAGGCCTTGCTCTGCTTACTCAGGCCCACTGTCTTCCCCTCCTGGTGCCCAAGTCCCTCAGATCCACATTCCTCGTGAGGACATCCAAGTACACAAGTTGCCCTATGTCCCCTTCCCACAAGGGACAGCCCCCAACCCTGCGCTCCATTTCTCCCTAATGATGGCCTGCTCCTCGCTTGTCCTGGGTGGGAAGAGGTCCAAGGGGGAGGCTGGTCTGTCCTGACTGCTTCCTGGGGGCCCAGAAACAGGACTCGGGAGACATAGGAGGCTGCTGGGCCTTGAAGTCTGGATGCTTCTGGGTGTGAGATGAACCGCCACTGCCCCCTGGAGCCTGCTCCCTTTGAGATTCAGGAAACAGGAGGACCCACCAAACTGACTATCCTGGGCTCTGCTGCAAGTCTGCTCACATTTGCTCTCTGAATCCTGAAGACAGACTTGTGGGAAATGGACTGTGAATCCCATACTGATAGTGTTTTTCGTGGAATTTCCATGAGACCTCTTTCTGCCCTGTTGGGAGAAAATTACTCATCAATCCATGCTACCATCACCCCACAAGCAGACTGGGAGGCTGAGGCTCTGAGAAGCCAAGTAACCCACCCAGAAGGGCAGACCGGGGCCACAGAGTGGGGTGCCCATTCATAGCATGTTCACATTTCTCACTTCTGGCGGCCAGCTCACTGAGCCTCCTCTTAGGGGGATTCACTTACCTCCTTTTACCAGGGCTTGTCTCACATCCTGTCTCTGGGATCATCCACAAGGCTTGTCACTCTGAAGCAGGGTTCGGTTTTGAGTCCTGCCCCAGGGTCACAGGTGGGAGGCCTTGCACCAAGACCACCTCTGACGCTGACTGAGCCCCTTTGTAACTGTTGCCAAAAGCCCCTGATCATCACCAACAAGCTTCCTGACTCCCTACTAGGCAAAGATGTCCACTCCAGGAAACATCCTGCAGTGCTCCAGCCAATCACCTAACACCAACCTTCCAGCAGGAATTTTCTTTGTCTTGAGGTTATAAAAATTGGATACTAACTCACAAAAATTGTCAGCTTTCCCTGGTCTGTCAGGAGGTCAGCCCGCTGCTTTATCTCTGCTCTCTGTTCTTAATAAAAACTCACTCCCTTCTGAAATGCTCTATGTCTGGAAATTCTTTTCCAGCTCACACTCAGACTGCTTCAACAAGTCTCATGTCACCAGGGCCACTTTCCTGGATGACACTCACCACCTGCTTGTCCACTCCCAGCTCAGGACAGAAAGGTCCCCCTGGGCCCTGAGCCCCCAGGCTCTGCCGGGAGCCCTCTCCCCTCTGGTCTGGCCCTTCCCAGTCACGGCTCCTGCAGGGTCACCAGGAGCTCCCACATCCCTGGACAGGCTGTCTGCTGTGTCCTGGGGAGGCCTCTGTGGTGTCAGGTGGAAGGAACAAGAGGTACCCATGAGGTTGCCTACACCAGCACAGCAACCAGCACCCACCTACTGACCTCTTCACTCTGGATGGGCCCAGGTGGAGTTCAGGGGCCCTCCAGCATGTCCTCGTTCTCATCCCAATGCTGCCCACAGGGGAGTCGCTAAGTTACTCTGAGCCGGGTGCACAGAGGGGACGCTCATTCACACACTCCTCCCAGGAGCATGGAGTTCTCGTGGGCAGGCTCCTCCAAGGATATGGGGCTTACCTGGGCAGGTACCCCCGCAGGGCTCAGCACCCAGGAACCATGCACAGAGCCCTCATTGCCGAGCACCCCCAGCCTACCTGTTGGACAGATCTGACCTTGAGCCCCTCAGAGCAGGATCTGAGGTAACGGACAGCAGCTTCTGGACAGGTCTGTGACCCTGGGCTTCGCTGTGTGCAGCCTCCTTCCAGCGGGTCTTCCTGAGGCTTCCATAGCACCTGGGCACTGGGCCTCTGTCTCCACCCACCACCCCTCCTCTCCCTGACCCCTGGGTTCCTCTCATTAGGAGACGGTCTTCTTGAAATTCTCTCCCACTTGTGGGCCAGATAAAATGCTTAGAAAACAAGCCAGAGCTGCAGCCCTGTGTCCATCCTGACCCTTAGGACCCACACCTGTTCCTGGAAACTTGGCCAGCACACAGAGGCCCATTGTCTGAAACCACAAGCCTGGATGGGCAACAGCTGGCTTACCTGGCCAGCCTGCCCTTTACACATGAGCCTGGGTTGAGGCTTATATATACCCTCGAGGCAGTAAGAGTACCTGCACATGTGCTTGACGCCATCTTCTCGGCCATCAGAAGCCACAGGGCCAGCCTGGCAAGAGAGAGAGTGAGGGGCCACAAGGTTTCGGGGGTCCGGGCTGTGTGGGGCTCTGCTGGACCTTCCACAGGAGTTGCTAGGCTGACACTTGCTAAGGAAGAGGATGTGTCGCTTGTACCTGCTGTTGGAAGCCTTCCCAGCCAGAGGTGAGGAAGCAAGAAAACAGGCAGTGGGAGCAGGGCAGGAGGGATAACTCAGGTAGGAAAATGGAAAGCTTCCAGAAGAGCATCCAGGCCAGGACCATCCTGCCTGGCCTGCAGGAGCCAACTCGGCAAGGGTGTTGTCGCTGGGGCGGCTCCAAGCCCTTTCCTCCAGCCTTTGAGGTCTTTGCACATATTCTAGTGTTTTACCTGGGGAGGGTGGAGGAGGTTCAGGGGCTGGCCTGGGGGCCAGCCAGCGTTTACTTAG